TATGTGTAGAACATCCCTTGTCGAAGGTAGTGTTAAAATGCAAGCTTAGAAGGTACTTTTGTTTCTTCAATAAGGCCACTTAAAGTATGTAGCCGGTTGAGCGGTCCCGGTGTCTGATAGACCGGGGGGAATAATGAGATATTTTTAATAGGGTATTGCTCCGGTAACTTGTCTGCTTCATCTGGATACTTCTCGGACTGTATTCGTCGTGGTTACTGGGTAGTTTAACTGTCTTAATACGAGATAAAAATTTTAGACATTGCGTGACCACTCTCTCAATAAAGGGTCATATGGTTTCTTAGGAAATATTAGTACAGCAGTCGCTCTATTAAGTGTCTAATGAACTCCGAATCATAACTTAGTGTGCATCACCAAGTATCGAGAGTTATATGTGCCTCCGATTTGTAGCGCCGTGATGGATTGGCTGCCAAGTCACGTTATATGTTCACCACTGGAAGTCGTACACCATCATAGAGATTGGGTGAAGACAGAGCACTATTTTATTCATGAGTAAGTGCTTGGACATGCTACTCCCATCGGAAGATAAATTATAATATGTCCTCTGTCGAAGGTTCAAAGCTCATAAGGCCGTGCTTATCCCGCATGTTGGTTGAAATTTCGCTTGATCATTATTTGTGAATAATTTTTAGTAGAATTGCGCTATGTTTTCTGGATTGAAGGGAATTCTCATTTTCTGACATGTCATGTTGATGTCAGCGCCATGTCATCTGACTGTGATATACTCTCAGCATTTTTATGCAGTGGTTTGTGTTTCAGACCAAATGTGTTGAAATACTGCTATAGTGACCACGAAGTAACAGTTGGAGAGTAACGTCATCTACACAAATAGTCTACTTTTATGTAAAAGCTACACCTTCCTTCATAGTATCATTCCAGGAAGACCTGACATCTCATGATATAAATATATCTTATCTTCGTGTGAAGCACAGTACTATTTGACAGTTGAATGCTGTCAGTATATGGAAATCACCTACAAAGGCTAACAGAACCCTCTATGACAACAGAAGTTATGATGTAGGTACATTTTTCACCGTATGTGTGTTTGGACAGGAATTGTCCTAAGTTGAATGGTTATCTCTAAGTGAATTTAATACATAGCTGCACTGATTGGTGCATTATAATGCGGGTTATGTGGATTCATTGTATGAAAAATACCTCAACTTTGTTAATGTTGTGCCACTGTCTGCTTACCTGAGTGCAAGGCTAACAGACGCACGTGGTTCTCATTATTGTTGCAAGTGCAGCGCAGTGAAGAAGGTAATTATTCATTTAATTTTACTCACGTTTATCACTTAATATCTCGTATTATTATGCACATGAATTGTGTTCATTATGAATACTGTATCTAGTAAGCACTAGTGTTGTCAGTCTACTATCTGTCATACCATTTCCACTGACAGTGTTTATTCAGTGTCTATGCTTCAGCGTTCTTTATCATCAATAATGAAGATGAATTTGTTCTGAGATTTCCATTTACATGAGGCGGTACAGATGTGGTATCACGGTCGAAAGGTTATTCTTGCTAATTAAGGTCTTACATTCAACCAGGGTAGTTCGAATGCTCGGCAGATCATAGCATATATCCCGCTTTTTAAATCGTTTTGCGACATGCTGAATAGCATTCAACATTGACTTTACTATGGACAATTCTAATTCATATATTTGAATCTAGTTCATTAGGTATTAACAACCATAAGTGACGCTTACCCTTTTAGAGGTTTATGATTGCCTTCCGATTTCTCTTTGTTCCCGAAAATACATACAAGCACAGAATATTTGTACCTCAAATGTGGTTCATCCTTGTGTAGTGTACATTGTACCTTCGAACTTTTGTTTGAATGAACTCAGCCTGACCTTTAACCAAACTTCCACTTGGTATTCCTGAACCTCTTGTACGGTTTCGGTTTCACTCTCTCGCTGTACTTTCATCCAGTACACTCTCCGAGCTGACCACCGTCTCACCTGCAGATAAGTGTGTACCTCTTATTTCTTATCAAATTCTATATATCTTTTGTGTAAATACAATTCTGTTCCAGTCACACTTGCCATCTCAGGTCTTTTAACTTTGATTCCGTTCGTTAGTACTCGCACGTTAGGCAGAGTACGATTAACGCCATAAGCGGTGAAGAAGTTTTGTAAGAGTGGTTACTTTTAGGTCGAAGTAATACTAAGTCTAACTCTTACACTTGTTTAATTTGGGTTTTATTACAACATACCAGGTGTTTATTATCTGATATTGGGCCCAGTTATCGTATATTCACCTCCTCAATAAACAAAGCTTTTTCAGCCCCAACTCAGGTTCTAAATTCCCCAGGTTTAATATTTTCTCCGAAAACCAGTGTGTGAACGAACAGGCGGGAAACGGCAATCCAAAGTGACTGACCGATATAGATGGATATGACATTCAGGTGCCTCATCCATTCACTGGCCTTGAGCATGCGGGATAATTTCAGTCGCTCATAACCATACATAAGGCTTTTCTCAAGAAGACCGAAGGTTCCCTAACTACCCTCAAATCCACAACATACTAAATGTCAGTGAGTGGTACAGACACGAATGCATCAGTTTGAGAATTGGAGCTGTGTTCAAAATAAACAGCCTAACATAATATTATATATATCATCGGGTGAGACAACTTAGGGAGAATCAGTGCTACAATCAGTGTTTCATAATTTAGTATATTTACCGCAGAATCTGCATAAATGTGCGTCGGTGGCACAGTGGTTAGGGCTCTCGCCGACCATGAACACGGTCCGGGGTTCGACCCCCTGCCGACGCGCACCTGATATCTATGGTCGGCCTGCAAAATTTGGGCTACCGATATCACATGCTGAAAATTCCATACCTGTACCTTAAAAATACGGTGTGGGATCAAGCCGTAATCAAAATGTAAAAAATAAAAAACCTCCGCCAAGCTAGTAAACTCGAATTGTGCTAATCGAGAGCGTACTTGATTAATTGGATTGCTTTTAGGATGGATATTGTCATAGCTATGGAAAAGCATCGCTTGTTGAAGAAGGAATTAAACTAGTACGACTCGTAGATTGACATAAAATATAACTTCTACTTAACCTCATGTAGTTCTGTATCGTGTCTGAGTCTGTGGGCGAAGTGTAGATGGTGTTGTGATAGGACTTAACTCTGGGTTTACGGATAGGGAGGCGGACAAAGTTGTTTAAGTGAGCCCAGTAGAGTGAAGTGATTCACCTGCTAGTAAGTTATTCCCCTTGAGCAGAGCACATGCTAGGTTTCGCAATTTGCTTATGGCAGTTAAAGCATTTTTAGGTTTGCATTTACAATGGAAGAACTAAAACCAGTGTAGCGACAGAAAACAAGAGTCAGGCAACAGGTCATTTATGGATAAAATCAACAGATATTTGTAGATTTTTATGTGCATTATTATTCGTTTTTGTTAGCAAAGAAGCAACGTCTTCTGATTGCTTGTCTTCCTGCTGAAGGTTACTCTGTCATTCCTTTGTTGCCGTTTCTTAAGCAGTCCGGTGATATATCTGCGAATCGTATCTGCCCACGTTAAGTCTGCTGTGATTAATTGTTGAGTTCCTCAAGGTTAGGCTTTGTTCTTGTTTTTCCTTATGACACCGATTCGGGACGGAAACAGTGACATAAATTTTTGTTTACAATTTTGTCTTGTAGACAGCTCTCACCACATCAGTAACACCTAAGTGGTTTCCAGGATTATTACTTACTAAAACAATAGGAGAGCAAGTTCTTCAGGTTTAAGTGGGACTGATATAAGTAGTATATCAGTGAACGAGTTCAGAAAAGTAACAATGTGTTTTGGACACTGGAAAAAGCAGCCGAAGAAGAGAACTGCGAGAAGAACGTAACATCGCTGTGCAGAATCCAACAAGCCATTGGATCTGGTGATATTCGACCAATTTGCAAATGATGTACAAATGAAGACTTAATGATAAGGTATACTAAACTTATATACCTACAGTGCGTTTGTCCTAATAAACATTCTTTTGAGCCGCAGCTGTCTCTTCTTTTTTACACAGTTACTTTGTATGGCGTCTTTTCAATACCCATGAGCGCACAGAGTTTCATTCATCCTTACTAGTGTCAGTCAGGTGGAATATTCAAAGTTCTGAGAAAAAATAGTGGCAAACCAGTGCTAAGTGTGATATCCTGTACCAAAAGTGGAGGAACCATAAAGCGGTCTGTTGATGCTCTTAGATATAGAGGCAATCATGGAACTTTGTTATGGTTTTGGACCAGCATGCCTGTGATGGGCTTACGTCATCCCATTCCTTCATGTATCATCTAGTATAATGCTCAGTCTTCTGTGGCGGGTGAAACATGGTTGGAGATAACTTTCCTATTCCGGAACATTAAGGATTATGTGATGTGCAAGCCTGGACGGCAAGCTGTGGTATGAAACACATCCCATGAATGTACTTACCAAGTGACCTGCACCATATTACATGCGCTAATTAGTATGCTAACTTACATGGGGTTTGCTAACACCAAAATTCGCTTTCCTACTTAAATTTACTTTTTACAGTTATTTTCAAGTTTATAGAGCCTGGTCTTAGTCATATTTGTTTACCATATGGCCACTAAAATTAAGTATTCACTTCTGTTAGAACACACTCATTTTTCCTTATACCGATGAAATAGCAGCCCACATCCTGAAGACACAGATTTCTGTAGAGCATGTGTATCAGTAGCCCGTCAGTGGGTAATCGCAGCTAATTTGCCTGACCAAATACTGAACAGTGTGTCTACTAACCAGGAGGCAGACGTCTGGTATAATATTTAGAGGGTGTGAAAAAGCAGTCCACCCGTATTTAACTAGTCGCAGTCTGTACCGAGTTCTTGAAACTCCGCCGCTTGCTTTCACCCAGGCGAATATGTGGCTAATAGAGAACTTCATATCAATCTTGAAGTTTAAACCTTGGACGTGATAGACAATTTCAGCCACAGCTTGTAACAAAAATATAGATGCATTATTGAATGATTCCAACGACCTTTGCCGCCGGCAAAATTGGAAATTTGTGCCACCAAGTCACTTTCTACTCGTTTGTTCCTGATGATAATACCCGTTCTCTGTATTTTATTGTTATGTGGGAAGTCGAGTGCTTGGGATTCTGAGGAGTTGCAGATGTTTGATTTAGTTGAGGAAGTTAAGGAAAGCTTTTATGACGTCCTTGGGATATCTCAGGTATAAATATCAATTTCTGTCAGATCATAAATTGCCTACAGAATGCTGACAATGCTGACATAAAGCGTGCATACCGAAGGCTATCAGCAAAGCTGCATCCAGACAAAAATCCTGATGACCCTACTGCAGAAGCTAAGTTCCGAAGACTTGTGGGTATGTATGAAATCCTGAAGAATCCAGAACTACGTACAAAGTAAATTCGTATAACAAATTTTACCTATTCTTTCTAGATACGATGAAGTGTTGCAAAATGGTTTGCCTAGCTGGCGTACAACAGTTTTTTATTATAGGAAGCTACGAAAAATGTCAAACTACGAATTGTTCGGGTTATTTTTTGGGATGGCTACTGTAATTCACTATGCCGTGCTTTGGGGTTCAGTTTTCGAAAGGCGGTTAACTTTGGTATGCAAATTTAGCAGTTTTTATGCAATTATAGGAAGATCAACTGAGTAGTTCTTTAAAAAGACATAAAGCACGTGATAGAAAGTTAGAATTGATAAACCAAGAGATATCAGATGAACTTAAGAAAATCCCTGGCCCTGGATGGAAAGATATACTCCCGTTTGCTATTGTCAAATGGATATATGCCATTGTCACTTTCTTCCCTATTCTGTTTTCGTTTACAAAAGAAGTGTTATTTCAAAAGATCCAAGAACGTCGTGAGTTAAAGGAAGAAATGAGGAGTAAGTAGAAGCAATTTTTATGTTTTTATTTTTAGTATTTAGTCTCTCTCTAACCATGCGCTTACACATAGTGTTTAACTCATGTTGCTTTTATGCTTTTCAGACTCTAGTAATTCAAGCCTTTAGAAACAGCGGAGGCGAAATAGCCTGTTGTATCAGTCTAAGTGGTTATCTGCGTAAAAATCTAAAATAAATGTTGGCCAAGTTAAACTTTAAGCATCAGTGACCTTAAAGCACTCATTGAGCAAGTTACTGAAACCTAATAAACAATATTGTAACTATTATTAAAATATGCTTAATGAAGTATTGTCGTATTAAACGGGATATCTGGTAAGTGTCAAGTTAGGTTTGAGAAATATTCAGTTAAGGCTTAGGCTGAGGACATGTTGGAGATAGGTTAACCTAATAAGGGTGACATTAGGTTTGGTTTGAGTTAAATCAGGGTTAGTTTTGGGATATTCTCACATTAGGCTTAGGTTAAAGAAAGATTAGGGTCATTGTTAGGGTTAGAAGACCTAGATAATAACATGTATAGAATGTGATTTAATTATTCTGTCGACACTAATCCGGAACTGGGAGGTATTTTTGTCACATGTCAAAGAAGGTTACTCTGTGTAACAGTTTCATACCTTTTAATTCATTTTTTTCATAAATATATGTATTTTATACGCGAAAATTGCCTCTACCATGTGGTTGGGGCGTTTAAGTTCATTTATCCGTTGTTACTTACTAGAACTTAAAGTTTAACTTTGACTGAATTTTTTTCATGGCATAGGTAATTGCGAGCTGGCTTTTCATAGCCTAAGTTGCATTCTCAACAGTATCGCTTTGCACCGATTCAATGAGAAACTTAATATGTTAGTAAATATTAGTGGTGATTTCTGAATTAGTAGTAGGTAACTGAATGATTATTGACTTCAATGATATACCTTGTCTGTCTCGTATTTAAACTGACCAACGGACGCAATCAATTTGGATGACGCAAGCACTAAGAGCAAAATACTGAGGGCGAAATGAGAAAGGTTATTGTTAATTACCGCATATCATATGCAGTACAATAGATACCATCAGTTCCAGTAGAGAAGTATTGTTTAACTATAAGGCAGTGAATTTTGTGGGGAGACACATGAGGTATGAGATAAACGGATGAGTTTGTGTCCCAATATAATGATGAAGGTGAGTAGTACTTCCTAGCCGTCTACACCTTGGCAACTTTTCTTAAAATACCTGAAGAAAACCTAGTCCACGAATTATCTGTTGTAGACTAATTATTGACGTCCTCTTTAAGAGCAGGTTGTGTATACCTGTAAAGAAGACAAGACTGAGGAGGCTGAAAGGAATGTTTATTTGGTGAAACGTGGTACATAGCTAAATTTGGAATACCATATTCTCAACCGGCCATTTGCTCATCTCTACCACATCCTTGACGAATTGGTCGAATATCGTCTCATTCGATAGCTTCTTGGATTCTGCATCATATGGCAACATTCTTCTCATGGTTCTCTTCTTGATTGCTCTTTCCAGTGTGCCAAACATGTTGTTACTTCGTTCCTGATATACTACTTATATCGGATTATAAGTAGCACTCACCACACTCGCCCCCTCATTATAAAGTCTCTCCTGTAACCGCCTTGATCGCCGCACAGACGTTTCATCCTGCTGCTCTTCTGGTACCTCGTCTTGACATTCTTCTCTCCATCTTTGTAGCAGACTGGCGTTTACTCTTTTCTCTTTATCTCCTCTCTTTATTGTGTACACTGGACCGCGCCTCGATGTGACCACATATGGTCCCTCCCACTTCGGCAGAAGCTTTCCTGATCCTGGTCCACTTCCGGTAGTGTACTTTCGTTCTCTACATTTCACCTGGTCACCTACTTCAAACAACTTCCAAGCTTTGGTTTGTTTCTTGCCATAATTTTCGATGTCTTTCTTGCGCTTCTCTTGTATATTCTGAACAGCTTGTTTCCGCTCATTTGTCCATCTCTTACTGTTCCATTTTTGTTGTTGTGGCCAAGTCTTATGGTGCACCGGTAAGCGTGGTTTCCTCCCATACATCAGCTGGAAAGGCGACTTTTTTGTTGTCCCTTGTACTGTGGCACGATGTGCTAGTAATACCAACGGTAAGTCAGTTTCCCAGTTGCCTCTTTTCGCAGCTAGCCACTCCTTGAGTGTACGATTGTTCCTCTCGGTTAGGCCGTTTGTCTGAGGATGATACGGAGTCGCTCTAATCCTCTTAATACCCAGTGCCTCCAGACGAGTCTTGAACTCCTCACTTTCAAAACAGGGGCCTTGATCTGTCAATATCATTTTCGGTACACCATGATCTGCCACAATATGTCGAATGACGGCCTCGGTTACGGTCTTGGCGCGCTGATCTGGAATCGCTACAGCATTTACCCACCGCGTGGCGTGTTCCGTCATCATTAAAATGTATTGATTTCCACTTGCTGTCTGAGGGAAAGGACCCATTATGTCCACGGACCATAAGTCACCAACCGCCGTTACGGGTATCGTTTGTAGCTGTGGTCGAATGCACCGATCACCCTTCATCAATTGACACTGTGGGCAAGCGAGTACGTAGTTTGCAATATCGCCTCTCATGTTTGGCCAGTATGCACTTTGGCTCACTAGGTCGTATGTTCGTGTAACTCCTGTATGGGCTAGTTGGTGGCATTCTTGAATGACCCCACGACGAAGGCTTTTTGGTATCACTGTAACCCAGCTACCATCACTGTCTTTCCAAGTTAGGACGCCGGCAGCGTTTAGTTTGAGTCTATGTTTTTGCTGCAGTAGCATCTTTAACTCTCTATTCTCTGCTGCCATTTCAATTTCTTTCCCTTCACGTATCATCTGCATGACTGTCTTAAGAGTAGGATCTGACTTCTGGTGGCCAACAAGTTGTAAGGGATCTTGCTCCAAAGCGTTTACTGCATACGCTACTTCTGGTAGTTCAGTCTCATTATCTGATCTCGACAAATAGTCAGCTATTACATTTTCTTTTCCTGGAATATGTCCAATCGTGAAGTCATACTCTTGTAGGCGTATCATCCATCGTGATAACTTCCCTCGTGGATCCCGTGCTGTTTTCAACCACTGAAGAGGTTTGTGGTCGGTCTCAATGTGGAATCGGCGGCCGATCAGATATGGTCTCCATTTTTCTAGTGCCCATACGATAGCTAAACACTCCTTTTCCACCGTAGAATACTTCTGTTCTGCAAGTGTCAACACACGGCTAGCGTATTCAACAACCCCATCTGTTTGTCTTAAAACAGCACCTATACCATAATCACTGGCGTCTGTCGAAACTGTGAACTGCTTCCCCGGCGCTGGCAGTTTCAACGTCATCTGTTGACCATCTAACAGCTGTTTAATTCGCTCAAACGTTTGCTGTGCCTCTTCCGTCCACATGAATTTCGCGTCACTCAGCAAAGTATATAGCGGTTTAGCTATCTCATTGAAATTTTTGACAAATCGGCTGTAGAATGCCGCTCTTCCCAAAAACTGTCTCAGCTTTCGCTTTGAATTTGGCACTTCGCTGGTTTTGACCGTCAGGATTTTCTCCGGCAATGGCCGTATTTCGCCATTTCCCACTTTGTACCCCAGGAGGACAACCGTGTTTTTAGCTATTTGGGACTTGTGCTTATTAATACGCAGTCCAAAGTCATCAATTCTCTTTAAGATAGCTTCGATGTGGTCTATATGGTCGCTTTCCGTCTCACTATACACCACCAAGTCATCTCCATATACTTCCACGTTCTTCAGACCCTTCAGTAATAAGGTCATTAATCTTCTGAATGTAAATGGGGCACCTACCAATCCAAATGGCATTCGTTTAAACTGGTATTGTTTCTGCCCAACTGTGAACGCTGTTTTACTTCGATCACTTTCTGCTATTGGGATCTGCCAGTAACCCGATCGTAGGTCGAACACGGTGAATAACTTGGCTTTGTGAAGGCGATCAAGAGTTTCTGTTACGGTAGGCATTGCACACTGTTTTACTTCGGTGAGGCTATTCAGCTGTCTGAAGTCGACACAAAATCTATATTTCCCGTTGGCTTTCTTCACCAAAAGGATTGGCGAACTGTACGGACTGTCGGCTTCTTCGATTATTCCGTCGTTTAACATTTCTCTGACTTGTCGGTTAACTTCTTCTTCAAGGTGAACCGGAACTCGTCGCGATGAAAAGACTGTCTTCCCCATATCCTTCAGTGGGATGTTATGCTTTACCTTATCACAATAACCGTATGGGTCTCCATCACTAGTGAATAAACCGGCATATTTACTCATCAACGTGGTTAGACGTGGTGCCTCTTGCGGAACAATGGTTGTGGTTTCCACCTCAGCGACTTCACTATTCTCATGTATCGCGAATTGCCCGTGTTTTGTGACCACTTTTCTCTTCTTCATATCGATTACCGCTCCTACTTCTCTGAGAAAGTCTGCTCCCAAAATCGTTCGTCTTATATCAGAAGTTACAATAAACGGATATCGTATTTTTCCTGCTCCAATCTCTACAACGCAGTCTGAAACGCCAAGAATGTGCAACGGATGTCCTCCTACCGTCTGAACTGCTAATGTGCACGGCCTTATTTCCTTACACTGTTCTCTATCTATCAACGAAACTGCCGCCCCTGTGTCGATCAAACAAACTATTTCTTTTTCGTTCACCCGTAATCTCCCGTACACTGAACCTCTTTCGACTAACCCGACCACCTCTAAACGCGAGCGAGAAAAAGAAGGAAGACTGTATGGTTTAAGGTTTTGCTGCCTTCTTTTCGGGCAGTTTCTTTGCCAGTGACCGGTTCCTCCGCAAGCAAAGCATCTGTTGTTTGTTTTTTTCTTTATCTGCATAGCTGCCACCTGTTGTTTCAACTCTTCAATCTGGTCTTCAATCTTCTTGGAATCTTGGCCCTCCGACATCACTGGAGCAACATGCGAGGTCATTATCTGCCTTGTCACCTTGGCCATTTCATAGACATCCATTGGCTGAGCTGCGTTAACTAGCTGCAACTGATGAGCGATATCTGTCGGGACGCATTCGAGAAACTGAGATGCCAGCAACTGCTCCCGTGAATCTTCGTCTAGGGTGGGTAACGCGCGTCGCAGGTGATTCGTCAGCGTTACTGCGAGAACCAACGGATCCCCATCCTGGCCAAGTCTCAGCGTCCGGAACTTCTGCAGCGCCTCTTGTCTGTCCGCAGGGCTGTCGAACTCGCACACGAGCCTCCCGACGACCTTGTCCCACGCCGCCTCACCTTCCAGCTCCCGAGCGTTGTCGTACGCAGCCTTCGCGCGGCCCCTCAGCAGCGTTCCCAAGACCACCAGCTTCGCCTTCTGCTCCTGCACTCCAACCAGCTCCGCGACAGCTTCGAAGTCCCTGAGGAACGTCCGCACATCTCCATCCTCGAACACCTGCGGCCACGGCACCTTCATCTCCGACAGAGGCAGCGACACCAAATGTAAAGAAGACAAGACTGAGGAGGCTGAAAGGAATGTTTATTTGGTGAAACGTGTGGTACATAGCTAAATTTGGAATACCATATTCTCAACCGGCCATTTGCTCATCTCTACCACATCCTTGACGAATTGGTCGAATATCGTCTCATTCGATAGCTTCTTGGATTCTGCATCATATGGCAACATTCTTCTCATGGTTCTCTTCTTGATTGCTCTTTCCAGTGTGCCAAACATGTTGTTACTTCGTTCCTGATATACTACTTATATCGGATTATAAGTAGCACTCACCACATACCTTCTATAAATCAGTCAGAGATACGCATTCATTTATTAAATGTTTTCAAAGCATTCACTAAGGAGTTTTCACCTTTTCTTAGACTTAACTAGTCATGTAGTGTAGTTAGTCGAAAGATGTGACTGATATCAGCTTACAGTTGATGTGGTTTTTATCTGGAACATTCATTTGTTGTCATTTCTGGGCTCATTTTAGCCTACTTGCCCTATTCATATACAGCTTAGGGCTCAAGTTGAGAATAATGCCAACGTACTCTGTCTCATACTGCAACTAGTGTGAATATTCACTTGATATAAGGCAAGAATAATGCGAGTTGGGTTATCTGCTGATTTTAAGTTATATATTCTATCATTTTATGCCTGATTTATGTGATTATTATTATTATCATCGTGACTATCTTTAGGTTTCTTATGTTTGGAACTTAGTTGCCAAGATCAGGTCTTTTGTATACCAGTTCGGGTTACACATTTTGTTTTATAATTGCTCAAAAATTTATTGCCACATATGGCCACCATTTTATAGTAAGAGTCTGATTGACTGACTGACTGTTTTTGTTAGTTTAGTAGTGTTGATTCTACTTTCCTGTGCTAATATAAAGTATAGTGACAGACTATCTTTTGTGCTTTTAGTTGTCTGGTGAGTGTTTGCATCATCAGATTTCTAATGACGCACGCCAACCTTAAAATGAAAATTAGGTAGCACAAGAGAAATCTGCTTCTCAAAGTTGGAAGATGTGCACTTCCTCTGAAAAAATAGATTTGATTGCAGGAAAGTATGTAAACACATAGCAGTGGGAATTTCGAACATTTCTTTTTTTGAGATAATTTCTTCTCAAGATAAATGAGAACAGAGAAAAGAAAAACAAGTTAATTAAAAGATAGGTTTTCGTTTTTGTTAAGTATAAAACTTGGTCAAAGACTGGTCAAGATTTTATTAAAAAATCTTAGGATAAATATTAACACATATACCACCACTTACTGTAAATTTGATGAAGATGGTGTACAAGTATTAGTTATTTTAGTCAAGCTTTTGCATTAACAACATTTAGAAATTCATATTATCCACTACCCTATATTTGTAGTTATCCAGCAAAACAAAGAAAAAATTAAGGCTGAAAAACAGGAACGTAAGCGTCGTTTACTGCATGAACAAACAGTTCTCAAAGAAGTTGAAAAGGAAGCCGGCCAATCAACTATAAACTCTGTCCTCACTGATCTGCCAGATATTGAAACTGATAGTTATGAAGATGCTTCAAAAAACAAGTCGAGTACACCTATTTTTCAAGAGGTATGTTTTATTTTCATTCCCTAAATTACGTTTTGTTGTATTTGGGACAAAGATTTTATTGTGTGTAAAATTAGTTCTTCGTGTGTACGGAAAACTGAATAGAATTTCAGCAGGATCACCTAATAACTTGGTTTTTTAATCATGTCCGAAACCAGGGATTTCCATGGTTTTCAAAGGGGATTGACACCTATCTTTCACTTCATGATATCACTTCATAAACTCCATCGACCTTCCTGCTTTTATTCAGTCTCACTGTTAGCAAATAGCGCTCAGTATGGGAGCTGTTGGAACAGTAAAAGTCTTACACTGGCTATTTTTCTTTGGTAGAGGCGTAGTAATTAAAGTTACTTGTGTATTGACATTCGTGTTTTTGTTTTCGCGGTAATGCGTGATAATCCAGTATTATTGTTACTTAATTATCTTTATATATATCTTGATTGGTCCTATCATTGGCTGGGTCTTTACTCGAATTTTGGAAAATTCTTTTCTGTCAGAAGGCTCCCCCAGAATTGAATGATTTCGGAGTAGTGTCCATATCGTCACAAAGCAGCATCAGTTAGAGAACTATTGAAAAACAATGGGGGCTGACCAGCTGTTTGATCGTAGTTCGGGACTCTTCAACACACTATGCACCCATAACCCCACCATTGATCGAATCCAGGATTTTCAGGTTACGAGGCCAGCCCGTTGGCTATTTAGTTACTGGATGAGATTTTAATAACCCTTGAATTCTAACTTCTATCAGTTTATGACACAGCGCTACCGCTAACGAATGCTATCGATAAGCATCCACGCCAAGGTGAAGTGAATAGCCTCATGACCTCAAGGCCCTGGGTTCGATCTCTGACAGGGACATGGGTACCCACTCTTGAAGAGTTTTGGACTATAACGAAATGTCTGTTCAGTGCACTACGGTTTTCTGTGGTTCTCTAACTAATGGTGGTTTGTGACGAAGTTGATATGTAAATGAATTGAAATCCCTATAAGATCCATAATCTAAATCTATCTGTTTTACCTAGAAAATAATGTACGTAGATTCAGTGGTATGTTAACTGCACATAAACTGTGAAGTGAGTATTGATCAAAATTTGAGTGGTTTAGGATAATCAAGTTGTCCACGTTGAGGATTTTCTGGAAGGAGTGATTGAAACTGAAAACATAATTTTTAAGAAATTTAAAGATCCACTCACAGTATCGCAGTAAAAGTGCTATTACGGAGCTATTTACATTCTACTTTCTTTAGAAATGAACAAGACTGGTAAATGGCTTTTGGAGCATACTGAGTATTGTATGGTCTGGTCTTTTGTTTTCCTTATTGATTTCACCTAACTGTGCTGGATTGCACTATAACGATCTAGGGATATCAAAATCACATTTCTTTTCAGTATCTCTGTAGTGAGTTGTAATTTCTCACCAGTACAAAACGTGTAGTAGTCAACTTATAATCTACAACTATATGGATTTATAATAATCACCTTCATTTATGCAGTCATATGATAGAAATTTTGTTGTATGTAATAGATAAGGTGAGAAAAAAATATGACCCGATTAACCCGAATTCCATCCTGCTTAATTTCAATTTTGTGTACATTTGTAATCGATAACTTCATTTTTCTTTGGTTTATAAAGGTCCCTTCAGTTACTACATATTCCATTTTAGTAGTGTTGTGGGTGTTCAACATATCCATACAGAGTTGTTATACGTCAGTCACAGGTTCACAGACTGAATTGGGAAAGTCATTTTACTTTCTATGTAGGTACTGGCTTACTAGCCTAATAGAACAGAGCCATCAGTCTAGCCTTAGTCAGATAAGACCAATAGCAAAATGTTTAAAAGTTGAACATGTACACTGCAATGTCATACCTTCCTAGGCAGCTATTTAGTTCAATTTAGATTTTCCCGCCGATTGATTGAACCGAAGTGCTCGATCTTAGGCTGACATGTCGGCTCCTTGTGCAGATGCTTCGACAATGTGTGCTTATGTAACTTGAAGTCAATTGGTGGATGGTGACTAGGACAAAATGCGCATCCTGGATTCCACTGCTAGTCAACATCAACCACTTGAAAAAGATTTATACTTTTGCTCCTGTCAGTCAATTGTGTGTATGCCACATTTCTTACGAATATAATGAGTCTTATGATATTGTTTACCTACATCTTTCTGTTGCGTAATCCATTCCTAAAAGTAGGTTAATATTGGATATCTATTATACATTGTGTCATTAGGCCTTAAAAACTATATATATATATATATATATATATATATATAAACCAATAAAACTTAGTTTATCAATACATTATATGCTTTGTTACTTTTAAGTGGTCAGAGGTCGATGTAAACAACCTAGTTCGTGCTGTGATTCGATATCCTGGTGGTGTACCTGGAAGATGGGAACGTATTGCAGAGTCTTTAGGTCGCAGTGTCCCTGATGTTGTTCGTAAGGCGAAGACTTTAAACAAAGAACTGTTGTCTATATCTCAAAGAAGTAAGTAAAATTCAATTTCATAAAAATTAAATATCGTGTTGCATTATCTTATTAGTGTATTGCCTTTTCTGATAGTGAGAATAGTTTCACCTGTGTCTGATGAAAGCAGTTATTTATTTTCGTATTATTTGTTAATTGTATGTAAAAATTACTCATCAAATGGAAACTCAGCTAGTAATAGGATTATTCATGTTTATTGATATTTTTTGTATAGTAAGAAACGTGTTAGATCCCCGATCTAAAAGTTTCTGTTGTAAAGTATCTTGCGTCACGTGTACTTTAGTATTAATTAATTCACTTTATTGAACATGAGGTGCTCGCCGACCATGCACATGGTCCGGGGTTCCATCCCCGGCCACAGACGCACTCCTTTACCTCGCTAAGCCAGAAATAATGCTAGTGAAGAGGAAAGGTTGGGCATGAGGATAGCAACCCCATCCTGTAAAATAGACACTGCTACAGAAACTTCAAGTTACTAGCTTGAAGCCCTATGTTCCACTGGGGAACGCGAAGGATAAAAAAATTGAACATGAGGTAGAAACAATAATTAGTACTCATGAAACTAATTCTTACAAACAATTTGTTTCAACAAGTCTATTCTAAGTATAATGGCATAATAGTAATTGTCTCTACTCTGATGATAAAGCAATTAGACTAACATACCAGATTCTGTATTATTTTTCTCCAGATTTAAGCCACTATCCTGACATTTGTAAACAGTTAAAAACCTTGTTTAGAGTTAATATTTAACAGCATACAGTATATATAAATATTTATGAAGACAAAGTTTTCCTATGTCTTGCTTACCGAAGCCACGTAGGAAGGTGTAGACTTCCTGGTTGGGGTCCTCGGGACGGTAAAAACCAATGGTTGGAAACAATTGGTGATATGGCTCAAAATCGTTCTCAGTGGCGCAGATGTATCCACTATTCCTTTGTCTCACATCTCTGTTTACTGTCTACTTTTTCTTCTTGCTTTGTGTACTACATGGAGTGTGGCGACTTGAACTGCTGCACATCGGTGCAAAGTTCTATGTCGAAAATAGACAGAGAGGCGGTCAGACTGAAGCTGGACTCCCTCAAAGTGCTGTTTCCTCTCTTCCTCTTCTTTTTTCTTTCTTCGTACATGAATTGCCTCTTTCGGATGAAATCAACTTCGTTATATATGATGATGGTCTCGTTGGCAGTTATTTCCCTATCTGACTGTTTCAAAATGAATAGTTTTTTTTTTGTCGGACGTCAGCCAGTGGTCTAAACTGAAAAGGGTTTCAGCTTAAATCTCTCTAAATGTCAGACAGTTAACTTCACCTGTAAGCATAAACGTGATCTACATGAACTGGTCCGTTCACATGATGGTTGTGGCATAGACAGGACTGAAATAGAAACTAGGTCAAGCGTAAAATACCTTGGGATTTTTATATCCTCAAACATTTCTTGGTCAAACCATCTCTTGTCGATTTCTAAGGAAGTGTTCCTTCTAACTTGCAACATAAAAAAGTTATGACATTCAAGAATCACTCAACCTATATTTTTACAATTTGTTAACCCTTGCATCTTACCTATTGTTGTTTATTGCTCCCTCATTAATTTTTCATGGACTACTCAAAAAAGACTATATAGTGGTAGGTATTAAAGATTGTCTGTAGAGCAAGTAGTGTGCCACTAAGCCAGCTTGTTACAATTGTAGTCGACAGACACCTGAAATCAAGTGTGGAATGATCTAAATCCGTATTGTCTGACTCTCAACACCCTCTCTATTCTCAGGGCTACCCCCCTCTCTTGAATCTCATCAGGTAGAACTAGAAGTTATTATAGAAGATTATATACTCGCTCGCACAACCAGGCGCAAAAACTCAAAGATACCCTATTTGGCCCTTATTCTTTGTGATTGAGGCAGTGTTAAGCATGAAACTTATAACTATGCAATTCGCAAAATAATTGTCTCTTTTATTCTCTCCCATTTGTAATTTTATGGTGATACTATTTTAATTGGATGGAGGATTTCATCGTGAGCTGAAATCAGTTAGAGAACCACTGAAAAACCTGGCAGCCGTGACCAGTATGGTACATCAGGTTGAAGATGAGGCAGTAACTCATTGAGGAAGACATTACGAAATGGTCGCGCTATGTCGTGAATTGGCAGAAGTTAGAATTCATGGGCTGGCCATTGGATCGAGTCCCAGTGGCTCAATAGTCTACGAGCTCGCCTTGTAACCAGAAAGTCCTGTGTTTCGAACTCTGGTGGTGGCTGCGTACTGATGAAGAGTCCCAAACTAGGACGAAACACCTGTCCAGTACTCCCAGGTTTTCCAGCGGTTCTCTAACTGATGTCAGCTCATGATGAAATCCTCCATCCAATCAAACTAAATTCCTACAAAACCAATACTATTTTAATTAACTTATAATTTTAGCTGTTAACATTATTATCATTATTTTACACTTTTTATACATTTTTTACTTTATTGTCGCTATTAATACCAAAAAGCGGCTATTATCAATTCTGGTTGCTTATACACTAATTTTTTCTATTGTTGTTGAGTAAATTAGGTACAATATTGTGCTAGATGCTGAGAATTCCACACTGTATCATAAGTACTGTTTCCGAAGAAAGCAAATTATTAGTATTATTCTAGGCATTTTTACAACTTCCAGAAGAAAAATTATGTTGATTAACTTCCACCCCTCATGTAAATTGTATTATTGACTGGTGATTTCTTTTAAAAAAACTCGTCACCTTTTGTCCTCTAAACATTTAGACCCTTTTAAGGCTTAAAAAATCACCGTAACTTCGTATCAATCTCTTTGAAGTCCTACTCGAGATAGTTAAGGGCTCAAAATTGATTCTGTCGTCGCACTTAGCGTAATATCAAGAGAGTTCACCACTTTAATTTGTTTGGTTTCTTTGAATTGGTTGATTTATAATTGGAAAGCTTTCGTTGCCCTTCTAGACAATAACTTCAGCTCAAGCTTTCATATAAAGTGAACTGATTGGAATTCTCCATGAGTAATTTAATTGTATCTCCTAACAACCTTTATTGTGATTGGGTATTTAATTCTCATAAGTATTTATCGTTTTTATTGACTTAAAATTTTAACTTTTTATCGTGGTTTGTTTTTTATTATTTGGTGAATTTGGTCCATAGTAGTTTGTTTGTTGATCGCTGATTCATCTGACTACCAGGCTTCTAGAAATTCCCTGGCATTTTTGTGGTGTTTCCACTATTTAAGATTTCTACATCCTCGCAATCAATTTGATGTCCGTATTTGTCTACGTGTATCGATATGCAAGCATACATATTTTGTCTTTTGACAGCTAATTTATAGCCTTTGGCCTAGAGGCTTATCGTTCACTTCATCGTTTTAGTCGAATGCTCCAACTATATATAAAAGATACTTAGAAGCCACTTGATGCGGTGGATGATTCTTACAATTGTAGAGTAACAAAGAACAGTTCATTGAGGTTATTCAGTACACTAGATAGATTAACGGTAGATTAATTTTAAAATATATTAACGAGCGAGTTATATTGGCCGTTGCTCAAGGAACTTGATTTTTCCTGCTCGGGAACATCTACAAGTGTGGCTAAAGAAATAATTCTCCACAAATTTTATTAGTTAGTTTGTTGATTCAGTTTTACCTATGATAACGCAGTATTTGTTATATATGCACAAAAAAACTTGGTACATTATGGGTATTAAGACATGTGCCACACAAAACCCCAGATTGTGCCAGGTCTGAATTAATACCCAGACGGCCAGATCGAAGCAGATGATTGTCGTAAGAGGCCACTGGAAGTCTGATCCACAAGGCAGTGGAGGTGCATTTCGATGGTTTCCGGTGACCAAAACATTTTTAATACGCCATTCGATCCGATCAGATTTCCAAGGCCGTGTGTATGTTATGTTGGGGATCTGAGTTTTCTAACGCCCCTAGGTAGACCTGCATGTCCACTAGTCTGGTTGTAAGCGCCAGACGTTTGAATTCACTTTTGTGAAGCACACCCTGTCGCCATGTGAAGGCATTGAACAGAGCTTACGTGGCAGAAGGTATGAACGTGTGACCACGTGAGAGCATTTCGAGAGGAAAACCGTAATCTACATACTCTCAGCCGTACCACGTTTCTTATGTATCGCAACAGTATATATTAAATAAGGTTGCAGGTACAATTCCACGCTTCTTGCTATATAATTATTACCATTAAACTGCACAGTTGTACTGATATGGATATAACATTTAATTGCGCTAAACTAACTAAGTTATGATAGAGGTTGCAGTGGATTGAATAGGTAATTCAGAAGTATTTGTCTGACTTTTTATTTCACTTTAAACGCTTGCTGAAAAATTTGTTTTAATGAGTATATTTTATTCGCATACTTCACTTGATTGTCACAAAATGTGTCTGACAGATGCTTTCAAACTTTTATTCAGTCCTTTTCAGCATTTCATCTATTAAAACTTTCAAATCTGCAAACTTCAATTTTAAGCGGAAGATGTTTAGACGAAAAAGATACTATTTGAAAGACTAATGGTAATTGTAGTGTACCATTCGAAATAAAAGAATTGAGATACTAGGTGTTCGTGGTGTGACCATCCGCTTGTCGTCATTGTGTAGGGGGAATTACATGAAGCTTGTTCCTCCTGTTTTCTTTCAGGCAAGTTTCAAAACTTTGACCATGAGTGAACGTCTAGTCAATAAACCTTTGGAAAATATGAAATTTGAATTAGCTCCTCTCTTTATATATTTTAAGTCAGTTTTTGATTCTCCCGCTGATTGATTGGACCAATATGGCTCTCGTGGTCCAGGTGCTAATGCTTTTAAGTTTGGAATAAAGGATACTGGGTCCAAGTTTCAGTGGGAATACCACCACTACTATCTGGGGACTGCAGGTACATCCAGTTAATGAGTCCGGAATAGGACGAATCGTGCATCCTAGATTCTACTGACAATCACCATCCACCAAACTATTTAGTTCCTCTCCTGTTTGCTAAAATAATATGACTATCGAGGTCAGTGTAAATGGATTGTTTCTAATATCTGTAAATACAATTAGCAATTGTATAATTAATTAAAAATTGAGTTTCTCTTTCACTTTTCTTAACTATTTATTTGAGCTATGAAAATATTTAAGAATGTAGTGCCAAAAAGTCTTTTAAACAATTAGGCTTCTGTTAATAATATTCCACTGGAAAATATTGATTAATTTTAAGTAGAATACGAAAGTAAGTGAAAACTACTTCTATGGACTTCAATACATTGAGCATAAAACCTCTTAAATCTCACACAGTTTCTGTTTCCTAGTTTAAATTGTACACCACAACATACCATAAACTTCATTTCATTGGTCGTCAGTAAAATTTCCACACGCTTACAGGATTCTTATCTGTGATTTGTCAAATTCTACTATGACAGAGCAACACTGTAGTAATTGGTAGCAGGGACTGTTATGGCAAAAAATATGAGTTGGTTTGTAAGGATTCGAATTGGATCTGTCTACGAAATTGCCTTGCAACCGGAATATCCTTGGTCCGAACTCCAGAGGGTGCGTACTGCCGATGAGTCCCAAACTAGGAGAGAATAGGTGTCCAGTACCCCCTGGTTTCCTATGGTTCTCCAACTGATATCAATCCCTTGTCAAACTTGACATATATATATATATATCTTACATTAGAATCACAAATAGCACATAGTCTTCGTATTGTGCTTCTTTTGTCTTCGCTATGCATCCCTCTACTATTTAGTATTATTATAGAAGACATCATTAACAATATACTACTTACAAAATTTCATCAGTAGCACTTGCCACACTACTACTAGCAAAGCTCTAAAACTGGTTATAAAGAAGAGAGCAGTTTACCAGCCTATGATGTTTCACATAGTATGATTTTATTGTGTTGACACCTATTTGATAATATTCTAGAGATCTGTAATATTGATCAGTTTGAGATGTTTTCAAATATGGCTTTAAATTAAAAGCATCAAAAGTAGTAGTAATCAAGTCACAGTATTCTTTAGTTTCGACCTACATACAATAACAGACACTGGCTCCGTTGAATAAGAATGCCTCACTGTTCATCATGTGTTACTCCTCAGCTACTTCGTTTTCTCTCTCTCTCTCTCTTATTGTTATATTTTTAACGTGACGCATGTCTTAGTCCTTTTACTGTACCAAGTTTGTATTTTTATAAAAGTCACATAACATAAATTGGTTTTGTAAATTTCACTCACCATTATGTTGCGTCATATGTCACGTATAAACCACGCATAGCGTGACAAATAGAGTATATAGAGAGTAGTTATTCCCAAAGCGCATTAGGCTGTAACAATTGTAACTTTTGGTTTTTGAGACATTTATGTATTTATACAGAATAATTTTTAAAAATTATATTTTAGTTCACCTACAATTTTAGTAGTAATACTGCATAATGAATATGGTTTACAGAAAAGACAAAAATTCAACATATTATCTATAGAGTGCAATTTTGAAATGTAGTATCACAGTATCGTAATACATTTCACTGCTGCAGCATATTTGTGTCCTGTTGTTCCATTATTTGTGCGAGTGTTTGCTTAACACACCTGTGAAATTTTACCTGTCTGAGCTTTACGTATTTCATCATCGCTGCCTATGTAGAATTGTTTGCAGCTTCCATACAGCTCACTGTATAGTAACGCTGAGACTGAAGAGTCAGTCAATGACGCGGAGTAGGCTGGTGTCTGTTGGTGCATCATAACTCCCTGGGTTGGCGCCTTAGATATAATTCGAATCAGTGGGCGCGAAGTTGCTGCAATTTCCGCCTTTCTTCTCTTTTTAAAAATGACATAAAGTAATGAACTACTTCTTGAATGCTCTTGAGTTTTATCAACAAGTTTTGGTGATATCAACAAGGCTGAGAAACCTCCAAACACTTTCCACTCCCATCTTGAACTGTATATCTCCTCTGTTGTTTTTCTAACTTTTGTTAATATGCTTGTAATAAGCTTTCGTTATCATTTGAACAATTTCAGCCTACTACTATCTTTTAAGAATTAAACGTTTGAGGATACTAAGGTCTTTCTACCAAGATCCTACTAGGTTTTTGTGTGGACAAGAAAGACATTAATATTATAGATTTTGGTTGCTCTACTGATTTACTGAGATGATTTAATAAGATTACCTGCCTGAAAGAAATTCTATGGGTTCAGCCAAACATTAGCGTCTACTTATTCATTTCTTTTTCACTTTTGTTCATTTTTCCCGTTTGTTTCAGTCACCCCTTATCTTGTTGGCTTTTCTCGTGTTAAGCACATGATGTCCCATAGAAAAATTTCCCATCTGTTGGTATGATTTACGTTGGCCATTCAAAAGTGGAGGATATAAAAAGGCTAGCTAGCTGTCTGTGATTGTGGGTGTCTGCATTCTGTCTCTCGTGTTAATTGATTATAATATGATAAGTAATATTAAGATCAGGCGTACAGTGTTGTGCATCGGTGGTCCAGTGATACAACACTGTCCAACCAAGCAAGTGGTCTGGGGTTTGATACCTGGCCGGCACACTCCTTTACCTCTCTTAACCGGTCGCAAGACTGGTAAAGAGGGAAAGTTGGGCGTTGAGGTTAGTAACCCCACCCCGTGAAGATAAAAGTACTGCTACCGAAAATTCAAAGCTCTGGCTTGAAGCCCTATGTCCCACTGAGAACGCAAAGGAATAAAACTTTAAAAAATAAAATAATACCGTACAGTGTTAGAGAACGAAAAGGAGGAGGAGGAGTCAAAATCGTTAAGGTTGTGAAGGTGAGTCAATTGAAATGGCTAGGGAGGACACGTGTTATGTATGTTGAACCACCGCCTACCTCATTAAGAAATCTCAGAAGACATGAGATTAAGTTGGAAAAGTGTTAGCTTTAATGAAATCGAGCCTGGCACGAATCTGTAGTCTTTGACTATTGGTTTGAGCCACACAGGGATGTGTAGACCACCTGGTTGGGGTCTTCGGGATGCTAAGAGTCAATCGTTTGAGACTGTCGGTGTAATAGCTCTAAATCGTTGTCGAGGGCGCGGATGCATTTACTATTTGTACGTATGCCCAGTCATCGCCTTCCTCGACGGGCAATGTTAGCTGAGATAGGGCCAGGCTGGAAAAGAGCTAGCGGCGGTCAAACGAAAACATGGCACCAGTCAATGAAATCCACAACAGTTAGTTTAAGCCAGCCACGTAGGAAGGTGTAGACTTCCTGGTTGGGGTCCTCGGGACGGTAAAAACCAATGGTTGGAAACAATTGGTGACATGGCTCAAAATCGTTCTCAATGGCGCAGATGCATACACTACTTGTGACTTATGATTTCCAATGAAACTATATTGTTCTTCGTTATTACTATTCCTTTTTCTCACACCTCTGTTTACTGTCTCTGTTGTGCATTTCTCCTACTTTCTTCTCTTGCTTTGTGTGCTACATGGAGTGTGGCGACTTGAACTGCCGCGCATATGTGCAAAGTTCTATGTCGAAAACCGACCGACCGATTTGTAATCTCCTAGGTCCATTAAGTCCTCACGTTTCTCCGTGTTATTGTCCTGTCTATCTATGATAGTTCTCCTGGATTTTCTTTTTTTTCAACCACCGTGTGCTACATGGAGTGTGGTAAGGTTCAACGTTGGCACTGAGCTCGCCTTGTAACCGGAAGGTCCTGGTTTCGAAATCCAATGGGCGCGTACTCCCGACAAAACAGCTTTCTAGTACTCCCCTGGTTTTCAGTGGTTCTCTAACCCATTTAATTCCGTGGTCAATTGTGAAACTCAGTCAGTCATGTATGATTTAAGTGATTATTTTACTAGACATTCTAAGAAAATGTTCCAAATTATTTTGTACAATTCTAAACCAACTTCAGTCACACTATTTCTTTTTACATTTTAGTAGTAGTTAATTTTTCCTTATTATTTTCTTTGAATTTTAGATATTAATACTGACGAAATCCCCGTTTTCGAGACCAATGTCAATCCAGTTTGTGGTGAAACCGATTCTGAACTAAGTGACAATGAATCTGACGACTCAGAGGAGAAAAATGTATCAAAGAAAAGACTTCGAAAACGTCAATTGAGACGAAAAGAGGAAAATGTATCAGTCATTCAAGAGGATGATGAAACTGACGAGGATCCGGATCAAATTGATAAGAATGATGATCCCACCTCTGGTAATTTATTCTTTTTTTTCTAATAGTCTTCCATTAGTCTGAACTGTTTAAGCTGCTGGATCATTAAGTTAAGTTATTAACTGGGCGTGGATGATTTTTTTTTATGCGAGTGAAAGATCGGTTAGTTTGAAGATAATTGGTACGGATTCATACTAATTATAAAACGGAAGCAGTGTGTGTACTGCTGTGTCAACAGTACTTAATTGACAGTGTTATTCATTGTAAAGGATCACTTTTATTCTCGGGGAACCAGTCGTGGAGTCGACAAATGTTTCTTTAGTTAGCTTCAAAAACCCGTAGATTCTAATCTCTTGGTTTGGAATGTTTTTTAATTAGTTTTTCTTAGTGTAGTGCATTATTCAATAGTTCGGTGGATGGTAGTTTCGAGAGGAATGTCAGGTGTGTGTGTTTTTGGGATTCCGTGGATTTTAATGATGAATTGAATTTCTCTTTCTATTAATCGCACTCATGTTTAAGAGTTCTACTAGATTATTTGTCACCCTTATTTTGCGCAGTCCTCAGATCTTCTGAAGTGGAGTCCTTGGTGAATTTGTCCTTATTTGTATTCAATTATGTCCATTACAACTACACCAAAACCTTTAGCTAGTCTGAGGATAACGATTTCATTATTATGTTTCAGTTCTTTTAGAGTTTTAAAGTGCTCAGACATTGGGATGCTATTCTGAATTGTACAACCATTGTAGAATAGGTGAGCAATGTCAACTAACTTAGCTTTGAATCAACCATGATTGATCATCAAAAGGTGTCAATTGGCTGTATAGATTTTCAAATTGTGCATGGATTTCAAATGTTGAGAAATACCTTTGAGGAACGCAAAATTTAAGTCCAAGTAATAAGGCTTGTTTCTGTAATAAGGAAAGTGTTATGGAAGATAGGTCGATGACATTATTTCATTATGGATAAGATTTCATTTTGATAAATCACACAGTGTTGTACAGTAATATTTACTGATGATGATATTTCCAGCACAAATTATTGCCACTCATAATCGTATGAAGTCACTCACTCACAACTTTGTTGCTTCATTTATGTACATGAGTACAATTGATTAGACATTTGAATAAAATCAAATATAAGATAAAGTACATTCAGAAATAATATTAGTGTTATCAACAAAATACAATAAAATGGGAAATAAGATGCTTTTTATTATACAATAAACAAATTGTTAAAATGTGAATTGAATACACTTTAACACTATCTATTATCCTCTGATTTGACTGGTAATAATATCTTCCATATCTCTGGTATTTGCGTTGAGTCACTTCTATTGCATGTGTTGGGTGTAGACTCGATGAACCAGGATTCACTAATCAATCTCTCTCGCTCTCCACCTACCTATATTACGTTTTAGAATTTTGACTCTGTCCCACCCTATTGTGTGGTTGTGTGTTCATACATGCAGTGTGATTGCTGAGCTTTCTTCGAAATTACTTGTCTCCATGGGATCAATCATTCTAACCTTATCTAAATTCTTATGTTCTGAGAATCTCACTACCCCCAATCTACTAGTTTGACTTATTTAGTTGACCTAACTCACAGTCATTGCAAGGTATTTTGTAGATTATATTATTTTGTCTAATTGGGTCCACCGGGTCCTTTAGCCTACAGAGCTTGTCTCTGAGTGAGTTTGTAGGTTTGAATGCCACCCTAATTCCTGCTTTTTTGAGAATCCTAAGTAGGCTTTCAGGTATCCCTTCCTTATATGGTAAAACTGTAGATGCCTTATATTCTTTCTTATTTATGTTATCATTGTTAGTTTCACCATTATTTTTATTTTGACCATTTTTGATATTCCTAATGAATTTTATAGGGTAGTTATTTAACTCCAACGGTTCCTCGTCTATTTGTTTCATTTCATCGTTTAGGTTTTTTGTTGTACTACTTAGTTCTATTGCTCGGTTTGTTAGACACTTAACTAAACCAGCCTTTACAGATCAGGAGCAGTGAAATTATCCAAACATAAGAATTCAGATAAGGTTAGAATGATTGATCCCATGGAGACAAGTAATTTAGAAAAAAGCTCAGCGATTGTACTGCATGCATTAACACACAACCACACAATAGGGTGGGACAGAGTCAAAATTCTAAAAAGTAATATAGGTAGGTGGAAAGAGAGAGAGAAATTGATTAGTGAATCCTGGTTCATCGAGTCTACACCCAACACATGCAACAGAAATGACTCAACACTGTGTGATTTATCAAAATACAATCCTATCTATAATGGAGTTGTACTCTACCAAATTGCCCAAGTTTTATACTTATATCGATGACATATTTCTCTGGATTTACACGGAAAAGAGTTACAAGTTGATTGTCATTACATGATTTACCCAGCTTCTTAGGCATTTTGGCTTTCGTTTTATCAGCGATTGGGATGTGAGCGCACCGTAATTGCTGGGTGACAGATTCTTTTATGTTGATCATTTGACAGATAAGGGTTATTGTGTTTAACAGCTAACTAAACTTGTGGAAACGTAAACAGTTTCGTTTTCATTCCTCGCTTCCCAGAGTAACTGATATGACTGTCAATACAACCTGGTAATTTACGAGTCTCCTCATGTGCTGTGTTGAACTTCCTAACTAGTAGATTCGTGGGCTTACTGTTCTCATCACTCATCTCCAACGGAAACTACCACAACACGATCTTATCTTTGGATCAAGTAGTCTTGTCGTTTATTGACTTTTTTTCAAACAGCTGCGAAACGTCTCTCTATTGTGACTTTTACTATACTATGCGCGAAAACACCTTGCATTCACTTCTATTCTCACCCTAAATCCCCATATAGGTGGTGTATATGTCAAAAATAAGGCTGAACTAATTATTCCTGTTTCTTCGTCTTCTTTTTCTCAAAACAAATTCAGTTTATTTTGCAAATCTAATTTTTCTTTATGTTGAATCAAATCGTGTACTTACTTACTTACTATGAATTATTTCCAGATGTTGTTGTTATCGATGAACCATATATGAGCCGTAAAAAGCTTAAACAACAAAAAGATGTAACTACCTCGAAGCCTGTAGAACGTAAACCTGTTAAAAGTGATGATGGATGGACTAAAGTAGAACAACAACAGCTTGAAATTGCTATCCGCTCTATTGGCAAAGGAACACCGGAACGATGGGATCGGATCACCGAATGTATTCCTACAAGAACAAAGGTAATATGTTGCTGTTTGCATAGCATTTGTTAATTTTGGATAATATGGTGTATTCATTCCCACTTTTTAAACTTAAGATTCTTTTTTATTTAGTGTGTGGCACGTGATATCTCGCGGTCAGTTTCAGGATGTATGTGTACTGCTCAGCAGTTCTCTCCGCCGTTCTTTATTGATGTGAAACGTGGCTATTGGAAATGGATGCTATGAAAAGGCTATCTGTCTTTGATACTACAAATTTCTGTGTTCTATTTTCCGTGTTAAGTGGTGTAATATGGGGATAAGTGTTAAGGTTAAATGTAGAATGTGAGTTAATTAGGGGTGGGGGCGAGTCAGTCGATGAGGTTGTGAAACTACATCGATTGAGATACTTAGGGTAAGTGTTGCATACGCCAAGCCCATCAACTTCTTAGTCGACGAAGATTAGTTGACTTCAGATTAGGTTGAAAAATAGTTAAGTAGGGTCAAATAAAACTTGGTGGAATAAACTCATGAAGTCGTTGATTGTTGGTTTGAGCCGATCACGTAGAGAGAAGTGAGGGGTAAACTATATGGTTGGGAGATGTTCACGATGCTAAGATCCAGTCGGTTGGGACTGTTGATGATGATAAGGCTCAAAATTGTTTTTCACTAGCTTAGATGCATTCATTATTTTTGTAATCCTCGAGATCTATTAAGTTCTGAGGGTTTTCCATATTTCTTTTCTTTCTCCTGTACATTTCTGATCAGTATAGTTCCTTTTAAATATCTTTTGTCTTCCTTTGTGTGCTGCATGGTGTGCGGCAAGCTGAATTGGTGCACTTCTGTTCAAAGTTGTATGTTGAATACTCAATCAGTTTTCAAAGCTTCCTTAAAATATCATGAAAAAGTTTGCTCGTTTTTTTTTCTATTTCCTTTATCTGTACTTTAGGATTCACAACAAAAGTGTTGTCATGGTATTATCTTAGAGAAGGAAAATAAACCTTAATGGAGAAAAATAGTTTATCAGTATCAAAGTTTTTAATCAATCCAACCACTACTGACTGAACAATTGTTTTCTAATTTTAGTGAAAAAAAAACTTTCTTAACAGTCATTGCAACTATTAGATGTTTAGGCTCCATCTTATCCAGAACAGATTCTTCAAGTAGTTGGCTGTAAAAGCTAAATAATATTGTAACGACAAAAGACAAGGGCCAGGCAACAGATCGTTTATTGAGAAAATCAAGAGATATAGTTTTTAATGAACACTGTTGTTAGCGTTATTGTTAGCGGAGAATCAACCTCTTCAAATCGGTTGTTTTCTTGCTGAAGGTTATTCTGTCATGTCTTTGTGGCCGTTTCTTAGAAAGTCACGCCATATATCTGCGAATCGTATTTACACACGTTAAGTCTTTTGTGATTGGTCGGTGACTTCTTCAAGGTTAAGCTTTGTTATTGTTTTTTCTCATGACCCCAATTCGGGAAGTAAATTTTTGTCTACAATTTTTGGCTTGCAGACAGCTCTCGCCACAATACTACTACCTAGTTAGTTGCCCGATGCTGAAGTAGGCGGAGCTGGCAGTCGAACTCGTGACCTGTTGACGGCAAACTGAGAGCTTAGCAGCTTATTGGATAATGTGCTGTAAAGGAGACAGATAGATTGCATGTCATCGTTGCTGAACTAATCTGGTATCATTAGCCATATCTGACAATACAATCATTAGTAGAAATATGTATAGAGAGATAATACTCAGTTTCTTTGTTCAATGTTGATGATTACATCTCGTGTGTGTGTGTGTGTGTGTGTGTGTGTGTGTGTGTGTGTGTGTGTATTGATAGTATCGTTTAATATTGACAGTGAATTATGCCTAAAAATGAAATGCGTTAATTTTCAAAATAATGCTGACAATTTTCTCTGTGTTTCTATTTCTGCTTCTGTAGGCAGAGGTAATGGCTCATGTCAAATATCTTTCAACGCTTGTTCAACGTAAACAATGAGAAACAATTATAATTGTGTAGACTGTGATTCTTACGTGTTAAATATGTGATAAGATGGTGTATGTATAGTGAATTAATAATATATACTTGTAAATTGTAAATTACCACCACCGTAACATTCCGAAAACGTTAAATCGTGCGTACTTACGTATATACACTAGTTGTTTTCATATGTATTCTTTTCATCATTGGAAGCTTAAAATTGTTCACATGTTTTTTTTTGGGGGGGGGGGGTTCATACTGATGCTGATATAGAATAAATGCTTTTCTGTCCACAGACGCTACTACAAACTAATTATTCTTATTTACTGTTGTGTGACTGCCTGCAAAAGTTAATATTATGATACTTTCTATTAGGTGTTCACATGATGACCGATATTTGCTGTCTTGAAGCAGTCGTAGGAATTGCATATTTCAATGACCTAATAAACTGTCTAAGTTCAGGCCTCACCTACCCGGTCAAGAAGAGTCAACTGAATAGTGGGTAAACTAAAAGTGCAACTTCATCATTTGTTCAGTTGCTCACACTATGTTGGGGACATGATAGTCGATATGGGAATCGGGATTACTATGAAAAAGCGTGTCTGTAAGAGAAAATGTCGACTCGAAATTTATTTCTCTTGATTGATTGCAACATTCTATGGATTTGGCCCCAAAATAACTACTTATCACTAACGTAACGTCATGCAGAGCTAATTCAACTTCTGTTTCCAACTTCACTTTTTAATGTTCTTCAAACCAAACACACTATACATCGTCTCGTTAAAAAAAACTATACTGAAGAAGCTTCCAGTATTCGTACTCTTTCACATCAGACAATTGGCCTTACTAATGAAATGAGTAGTTATACTTTCAAGGAGTTCATTTGTGTTTTTCTGAGTTCTGCTGCTAACAGTTCAGCTGGAATGGATACCATGAGAGTAATAAAAAATACCTCCATACTCCTAGTTATCTCCTCTTGCATACCAAGTGACTGACTGAAGATTGGTCTTAGTAAATGTCGATAAGGTGTCAAAGTCGTGGCAAAATACCTAGATGTAGTCACAATTATAGACGGTCTTTAAGTCCGTTAGGAAGTTGTATTGAGAGAATCGATTGATGACAAAATAACAACGATAGTCATCTGCTACGATCTTCTTCATTAATGAGGGTAGATATTTACTCGTTTGCCTTCTTCTGACAGAACACCAATAATAAGTACAAGCGGATGATGAATAAGTGACTGAAGCTCTTCATATATTACCTGCGTAAATTAATCAGCGCACACATATATGCCTGAGATTGAAGTGACGAAGCTTTCACCAACCTGCTGTTTTGTACTTCACTGGAAGCGTCCGGTAAGGTAACCAGTTTACCATTAAAGCAGTTGATAACATGTAAGCCTATCCAAAGAAGTTGTTACAAGTTGACTGATACTGGTGGACCTGGAACATGGCGAGAATTAAAAGCTATTTAAACGTGGCCTTGTCAGAATTAGCATCAATAAATAGGGAGGAAGAAAGTGAGTAATTATTCGCTTAGTGTGACAGCCATCAATCACTAGAGCTTATTATTGGAGTGGTTTCTAGAAACATAGTAAGCTAAATGGTGTTCTATAGTTGTATTTAATCGAGAAAAGTAATGTGATTTGCCAAATACCATGGTAGAGAAGTCATATATTAGTAGATCGGCACCAGTTAGGTTATCAGAACATGGAAGTGTAACTAGATTTAAAGTGGTTGACACCGATGGCTTATATAATCTCGAAACACCTCGACCACTGCAAAGCATTTACTTGCATATATTCGCATAATGAGTTTAAAGCAATTAAGTGGAGGATCAAGTTAGCCATTGAATCATCATCTACAATTGAAATAGCGCAGCGCAAATATAGAAAATTGCAATGAAATCAGGGTTTTTTTATTATTTAAACGCATAAAAAACTTGGTACAATATGGCACCAAGAAAGATGCGCAACACAATAATAATAAAACAACATAGATCAAAAGTAAAAATATAAGTAGAAAACGGATAAAGAACTTCATCTGGAAGGGAAACAGTCATGTTTAACAAGTTCAGACAGTATTCGTCAACTATCATCAGGAAGGGAAGAAAGATGGAAATTGCAACACGTTCACCATTGGTTACGATTCTTGGCCATATCCGATAACGTTTCGAGCCATCGATTTGAGCTATCTCGCGGACCCCAACCAGGGAGTCGTGACACACCAACCGATGCTAATCTAGCACAAATATCCTTCATCCCACGACGCCACGTCATGGACTGACCACCCCTCCGCCTTTTCCATCTCGTCCCAGGGCTAGCGAACAGAGACCTGTACGGAAGCCTCTGGGATGACATTCGCAGCACATGTCCAAGCCACCGGAGCTGGTGTTTCCAGATGACGACACTCAATGAATGGTGATCTCCACTGTGTTCAAACACACGCCACCGGACCTTAGAATTACTCACACTATGATACCATCGAACGCAATCAATCCTGCGGAGACAGCGATGATCCAACACACGGAGTCGCCGCACATCCTCAGCTCAAAGAGGCCAGGTTTCACAGGCGTAGAGCAAGACAGCCCGCACCGAGGCATTGTATACCCGACCTTTGACAGCCAGGCTAACGTCGCGACGGCGTCAGAGGTGGCACAAGTTGATGTATGCCACCCTGGCCTTCATTATACGGTTGAAAATCTCATCCGTCACCCCTCCGCCAGCACTCACACAACTACCCAGGTACACAAACTTATCAACAACTTCAAGCGGTTCACCCGCAAGAGTGAGCGCAGGTACAGGCTCCTGCCAATCTTGTAACAGTACTTTGCACTTAGACGGTGCAAAGCACATACCATACTTACAGACACAGATCACCAACTGATTAAGTGCGATTTGGGCAGCCTGCATGCTATCGCACAGTAAGACGATATCGTCTGCATACTCGAGGTCGAAAAGTCTATCTCCAGGTAGCAGATCTACACCACCTTCACACACATCCTTCAGAGCTGACTCCAGAATGTCATCGATGGCAAAGTTAAAGAGAAATGGAAAGACTGAGCAACCCTGTCTAACCCCACTGTTGGTTGGGAACAGTGATGGTAGTTGGTTGTGTGCCCTCGCTCTACCTGAGGTGTTTTTATATAAAACTTTCAAGATGTTAACAAATTTCTCAGGTACAACTCTCTAACAGACAGTTTCAGAGCACAGTTCTGTCCAACGAATCGAAGGCAGCAATAATATCAGGAAACACAACGATCGTTGGCCTGCAAAATGTGTGGCGGTGTTCCAACAACTGACGAAGGGTGAACACATGATCAATGCATCCACGACCTGAACGAAACCCAGCCTGCTCTTCGCGAATCAATCCTTCACGTATTTTGCACAGCCTGCGAAACAAGACAGAAGCCAATAATTTAGACGCGACTGGTAGCAGACTGATACCCCTATGATTGTCACACGAGCTACGTCGACCCTTTTCAAAAACGGGGACGATGATGGCTTCGTTCCACATTGATGGTACACTCTCAGTTTCCCATACCTTCCTGAACAACCCAGAGTTTCGCCACCATCTTTAAAAAGAGCCAGAGGGAAATTGTCCGGGCCGGGCGCCTCATGGCGTTTTAACACTTGGAGTTCCTTACGGACCTCCGCTTCGGTGGGTGGGTTGGTATTAACCGACCAAGGAGCACTGGGGCTAATGACAGCAAACATTGAAGCTGGTGGCCAGCTAAACTGTTTCCCGAAGTTCTCTGGCCAGCGTTCCAGCTGGTAATTGGCGAGGCATCTGCCTTACAGACCATCTAGCTGACACCTTGTTCCTTGCTGCCGGTGGCTCGGATGAGTTGGAACAGCTTCCGACTGTTGCCAGATGCAGCAGCTGACTCCATCTCACCCTCACGTTCTGACCACCAGGCTTCGCGGTTTTTACGTAAACACTGTCTTATCTTGCGCGTCAGCTCCTTTCGCTTATTGCTGTATTCGCTGCCAGCCGGAATGGACCGGCGTTCATCCATCAGTTGCAAGGAACTCTCAGAAACCCAGTGGTTGTTAGCGGAGCATTCTTTCAAGCCGCAAGCGGCTACACTCGCCTTTTCATGGCACCTTGCACATGAAGCCAGTGTTCATCTATACTACTTGGGGGTTGCTGGCAAGGATTGACTGTAACTCGTTCTGATATTTCAAAGAAGTAGCATGTGCTACTAGTTTGCTCACATCAACGTTTAGACGACGCCTTTTATGAACCCCACCAAATCGCAAGACGAACTTGGCACACACTAACGCATGATCGGAGTCCAGGCATGTGCTCCAGAAGGAGCGACAGTCTCGTATGCATCCTCGCCACCGGAAACTGACAGCAATGTGATCGATCTGAGTCCAAGCTTGGTTCGCAGAGGGAGGACGCTAGGTAGCGCTACGGCGATGGTTGTGCCGGAAGTTGGTGCTGGCCAGAAATAGGTTGTGATCCGCGCAAAGCTGCAGAAGACGGTCCCCATTATCTGACCTGCGACCATGTAGTCCCCATTGACCACCTAGACGACTCTCCCCTGAGCTCAGACTCCCGACCTGTGCATTCAAGTCCCCAGCCAGCACTGCGATATCCCTCCGACCCGCCTGTCTCAAGAGATCGTTAAGTTGGTGGTAGAACTCATCCTTCATTGCATCCGGGCTGCGATCCGTTGGTGCATAGGCAGAGACAAAAAGCAGACACCGCCTATCTGGCCTACTACTCCTTACTTTCGTACAACCTTCCAACCTCACAGCACATAAACGACTGTTAATGAGAATCCAGTCGAGCAATGCAGCTCCGGCTCCAGCGCTCAGTGCGACGCCGACACCAGCTACGCCGGATGCCGACGCCACAGGGTCCCCGGACAAGCGCAGGTGGTGCATACTACTAGAAATTCTAGATGGAGAGGATAGTCGAAGCACTTCACTGGGATCTTGAATGCGAGTCTCCGGAATACAGCAGACATCGATAGCGAGGCTTTCCAATGTTCTTACCAACCCTGCCTGTTGTCCGATTTGCATCAGCGTCCGAACATTGTAGGTGGCCAGCTTGAACGCGGCACGCGGTTTCAGGATATCTGTGTTAGATGTCACATTGGGGACAACCATTTTGAGGGTTACTCACTAACATCTCGAAACGACACAGATAGGCTAGGAATCCAGACAAAGGCGAAAGGCTGTCGAAGGTTAAGAAGTCAAGGTGAGCAAAGGTAAAATACAGGAATCTAAGTATAAAAC